AGTTGAATTTTCGTCGATGTTAAGCCTAACGAAGACTATTGTATCGTTAAAAATTATTTTTTTATTTTGTACAAACAAAATAAATTTATTGATAAAAACAATAAAAAATTATACTTCAGATGTTAATTTAGTATCAAAAACGTAAAATATTTGAGTAGCCCGAGAAATAGCCGAAGATTGCAGCGCCACAGCACTAGCGAAAATTTAAATTTGCCGACTGGAATGCTTTCGGATAACGGACGTTTCGGATAACCAGCTTTCAGATAAACGACGCTCTACTGTATATTAATCTTATCCGAATCCTTATCTTATTTTATCTGAATTTATCCAGCCACAATTAACTTATAATGATAAAGTCACAAATAAAAATGAGGAAAGGAGAGAATCTGAATGAAAATAATTATTAATAGCCTAAAGTAATAAACTAATAAAAAAATTTTGTGGTAAAATTATAATATTGTAATCTAAAGATGGAAGATGGGAACTGTTGAGGTTCAAATGGTTTTGAATCTCATGGGGAGGTGTGGTCTGTTAGTTTATTTGTTAATTTTATGAGCAATGCTAGTTTTTAGTTGTTTTAAAACACTCCAAAAGAATATTCCCTATTAATAGCCAACAAACACAAAATCCATGCCTGAAGTGAATCTGGCAAACTAGTAACACCTACAAATTTTGTAATTCTAAGTCTTGTAATATAATAAAGTAATAGCAAATAAGTGCCTAAATTAAAACAATGTTTAATTATAGTAGTATTTTAGTTAAAATGTGAGAAAATATGATGATAAATGGAATTGGAACTGCAACAGCAATCAAGGTCACTAACGTGCAATGTAAATTGGTAGGCTGGTTTTCAATATTGATGAAATCTATTTCTATAGCTCCCTTAGTACATACAGTTCTCTGTCTTTTTCTTGAGTTTTTTGAGTAGGGGCTAGTGAGAGGGGTGTTTACAATATCTGGTGTTAGAATCAGTGTCGTGCTTCTATCACAACAGTTGATGCCTCTGAGGATAAGCTAGAAAGTCAAAGTATTAGTGTGTTAGTGTAAATATTTTGTCTTAAACTCCAAAAAAGCGTTAGATGGTTCTTGCTTGCAAATGTATAAAATACTGTATTTGTGTCAGTGCATGTAAGGGACCAGTAGATGAGTTGAGTACAAGATGATAATATATTGATAACTATCATTCCTTTTTACTATTATTGTTATTAATAATAGCCAAAATACATGAGAAAAGAGTCTTATTTTAACAAACACCAAAAAAAACTTTTAAAATCCAGTAACACAAATAAAACATTTAATAAAAATTAAACAAATGCTTTTGACTTTAATCAAGTTCTGCTTCAAGTTTGTAAACCAATGGAATTCCAAAATCAGAATGCATAGAACTGAATGTTTTGAAAAATATTTTTAAACAATTTAGAATATATAACTCGTTTTATTTGTGTTACTGGATTTTAAAGATTTTTTGGTGTTTGTCATTACTTCCAGTAAGCGAGTAAGAAGATATTCTTTAGTCTATTATTTTATTTTTTCACAAATTGCTTATTAACAGTGGTTTTTATCATATGCACTGACACATTTTAAACTTTACGGATTACAATATTTAATTTTTTAAAAGAATTAAAAATTTGCTAAAACATTATACTTTTACTCATACAAAACTTTTTTCCATGTATTTATGAATATTTTATTTGGTTCAGTTTGTACATCAAAAGTGTACCAACCCTGTACATATGTATAAGGATATTTCAGAAATGTTTGGCCAAATTTCAAAGGCTAATAGAGGAAGAAAACTTGACTGAAAAGTCAAGTACCAGTTTTTTGATCCAAAATGTAGTGAGGCCATTTCTGTTTTTTTTTTAAGTATAACTAATGTATTAGTAATTAAACTTGTTTACTAATCACAATTTCTTTGTTAAACAGTTCATTTTTTCAATGTTTACACCTCAAGATTATAGACATTTCTTGGATGAAGAACGAGGTATCTTATTAGAGAATGTTCTACTGGATATTTGACCTCAAATATTCTTTGTCCATGATGGTACCACATTTTAAGTTACCACGCACTAGAATATCTTGGTAATGAGTATTTAAATAGATACATTGGAAAAGGAATAACTGTAATTTGGCCTGAAAAACCTCCTAAATTAAATTTTCTAAATTTTTTTATGGGAACATTTAAACTCTATGGTTTATACTAAATTGCAAATGCAAATGTCCTAAGAGATTGGTTTGTAAAAAAAATTGCAAAACAATTCTCAAATATGCCCCTGACTTATCTGAATGTTTGAGAATCAATGGCAAGATGCTGATAGGCCTGAACAGATGCTCACAGGAAAAATTTTCAGCATTCGTGACATTGATGAGTTTGGATTTAATAAATTAAAAAAAAAATCTTTGTACCTAAAACTTATGGATTAATTAAAAATGAGCTGTTTATTAAGAAAATTTTGAATAGTAAAAAAGATTTAATTAATGAAGCATTATGTAGTTAGATATAAAAACAGAAATGATGCTACTACACTTATGCTTAAGCTTCAGTTCAAAAAACTGGCCCTTGACTTTTTTATTCATGTTTTCCCATCTCTGTAAGTCTGTAAAATTTGTATATGTATACATAACATGTTTGGGAGAGTTATTTTGAGAACAGGCTGTATAATTGATGTAGAATATTGTTTATTGGCAAATTCAGTCAAAAAATATAAATTTATAAGTAAATGAAGTATTCTTATTATTAGTCAAACATTTACTAATGTTTTATTTCAATGTTTATACAGTCGACCCCCCTATAACATGGTAGATACGTTCCGGTTTTTATGAATCCAGCTTCTAGGAGTTCAGCCAATCACAGTCCGGCACGTATGCAGTTCACAGACTACGGCTGTTTGAAAAGTTTCTTTCATAAAATTAATTGATTCTAGACTAATTCGACTCAACATTTCCAAAATATGTATAATTTTTTGGGAATAATCCATATAAACTATGGTATAAACAAAAAATTGTAGGATTACTTACCGAGTGTGCACCGTTCGACTACGCTGTGCTTCCTAATAAATTATTTTTTTGCAAAAAATTTGCTGAACTTTAGAGACATCATTAATATAAATATAATTTTTATGGATGTTAAATAATAAATGGTTTTTAGTAGGTCCGCTACTTGTTTAAACTCAACGGTTTGTGCAATCCTGTCACGACACGAGTTGGTGATGACGTTTTACCGAATTATAGGAGTTTTTTTAGCATGTTTGTATGAATACTGTCGCAATTTTTTCACCATGATATAGGAATCCAAACTATAGGAACCCGTGTTATAGGGGGGTCGACTGTATATTGTTTCTTTGAAAGTTAGAAATGCATAAAATTAAGAATTTAGTAAAAAGAAATTTTGGTATTTTAGCTTTAAAAAGTATATTAATATTAAAAAAAAAGTTATTGATATTCACCCTTATTGGAATCAAATATTGTTTTAATATATTGTGTAAATGAATTTTAATTTAGCTTATTATAGTTATAGATTATTTAATAAATTATCTTAAAAAAATTACAAAAAATAATCAAATATGAAACTAGCATCCATAAAGCTTTGCATTCTTGTTCTTAAATTATTTGATTTAAACAGAAGTTCTAATCTTTATTTTCTATTGTGAATTAGATTGTTGAGAGTAAACAAGAATTTATTTGTAAAGTAACAATATAAATATCTGTATCATTTAATTTTAAAATATTCAAATAAGTTATGTAATTCAATTGCTTGTGGAAAAAATCTGAAGTGTGGTTTTAACTTTGCATAACATTCCCAAGATTCCACTTTTGTCAAGAAGGATATTTAATTCTCTGATTTATTTAATTTAGGAAATATAATTTAATTTTGCTGTAAGACTGTAAGACTTAATAATTGTTTCCCCTCATTCTTTAATTAATGGAATTTAACATAACAAAATTAGCTAATAAAAATCGTTTTTAAATTTGATAGATGGAAGATCATTATCATTTTAGTTTAGTTTATGGGAATAAAAGTGAATAAAAAAGATATTGTTTTATGATGGATTTATCTTAATTTTTAATAATATTTTGTTCTGAAATGTTTTATATCCAATATTGATATCCATATTAAGAATTTCCTGATTCATTATCATCTTTGTTGTACATTTTTAAAATTAAATTAGATAATGTTTGCATTTCCTATTTTTCTAAGAATTTAAATATTTAAAAGCTGTTTTATCAATTTCAATTTACATTGAAATGACTAGTGTTTTTGGATTACTCATAACCTAGAATAATCATTCAATAACAAATAAATATCATTCAACTAATAAATTTAAACATTAATTATAAGTTTAATTTTTTTTAAATTATTAAATTTTGTAATCTGTTAAATTTGACAGGTTATTATTATACCTCAAGATTATAGACATTTCTTGGATGAAGAACGAGGTATCTTATTAGAGAATGTTCTACTGGATATTTGACCTCAAATATTCTTTGTCCATGATGGNAAAATTTAATATTTTTAAAACCAATTTCCTTAAAATCTCATCATCATCAGATGGCTTACCTGTTGTTTGTTTAACATATTCACCATAATCAGATTTGGTTCAAAAGGAATAAATGCAATTGGCTCAAATCCATAATATTTGTCTTTATATGGATTATACTGAAATATAAAAGCCAAAAATGAGTATTTTTTAAAATTAGAATTAATTATAATTCAAACTGACCAAAAATTTAAAACTCTGAGATAAAATAACACTTTCTTTTTTCCTGAATTTTCTAATGGTAGCTGTTTATATGTTTATTAAGTAATGTCTCTTCAATCTGAAAAAATTGGCTGTGATGTAGTCTACCGGAAGTTTTTTTTTTCAGATTGAAGAGACGTTACTTAATAAAATAACACACTTTTTAATTTATTGGATATAAAAATTTAGTAAGGCAATTCGTAAATTTTTAAACATGATTATATTTAACAGCACAATTTGAAAACCATTTCCATTTACTCTGATGAAAAATAGACGATTGTAAATTTTGTATTAAATTGAATTGAAAGTTAGTGCTGCTAGGCAGATGGTGAAGAGAGGGATGAATCATTGTTATAGCAGTTTGTAACATAAGATGAAAAGCTTCATTGTATCATTTGAGCTTACTCCAATATTGCCATCTGTTCAAACATCTGCCTACCTCTAATACTATTGTTTGAGAGAATAAAGCCACATTTTGGTAAGGAAACAAAAACCTTAAAATCATCTATGGCAAAAATTGATGTTTTTGAATTAAAATAATTAAATATTGATCATCTAAATTACAACTGTTAAATTCCGAAACATAAGTAGCAGTTTATTGCTTACATATTGTCATAACTTTTAATGATCGGTTTCAAATTCAGAAATACAACTGTTAGAATATTGTACAATATAATTTTATTATATTGTTACAGAGTTAATTTTGAACAAGATTAAGTTCAGATTAAAAATAACAAGAAATATTCTGTCAAGTGTGCAAAAGCCCTTTTAATTTTGAATGAAAATAAATTATGCAAGTTTAAGATTTGCCATTATTAGAAATTACAATAGAATTAATAATTTAATTTTGAGATTTATAAGTTATAATATAGATAAAATAATATACTGTTATAATGTATCAAGTTCTGAGATGCATAAATATTCAAAATCTTTAAAATCCAGCAGGAAAAGTTTCATTTTTGTCTATAATATAGTGATGGACAGCACGCTAATCATTTATTACAAAAACTTTTACGATATAAGCGTTAAATTAAACACGTATAGCAGTTTGTAACATAAGATGAAAAGCTTCATTGTATCATTAAATAATATTCCTTCCAACCATTTCAGCTCTTCCCGGACAAGTTGATCCCCCAACCAATGTAGCTTGTCCCAGACTCTTTTTTGAGGTTAAAACACATAAGGAGGGCTGGCCACTAAGACCATTAGTTAATAAAAGAACACACCCTGCCTTCCATCTCGAAAAAGCCCCAGCCAAGTTATTAAGTGGGCTCCTGCCTCCCTCCCATTTGGTTACATCTTCCTCAGTTGCAGCGAAGACCCACATATCCTCTGTACTGGACCACATTCCACAAAGTGAGTATACATACTACAAATTGGATGTAGTTGCCCTTTATCCCTCAGTGCTGCAGTTCGAGGCGGTTATGCTAGCTAATGCGATGCTAATCAAGAAAGGCTTTACAGCGCAGGAGGTATTAGAATTACGTGAGGCTCTACTTTTCATTTCTGAAAATAATTATTTTCAATTCAGGGGCCAAATATATCTACAGCAACAGGGAGTCCCGATGGGTTCACCACTTTCAGCAGTTTTGGCGGAGTTGATCATAAGAAACATAGAGTTCAAGATGTTTAAATTTCCTATTACAATAAAATATCCGCTTTTATATCTTAGATATGTTGATGACATTCTTGTGGCTTGGCAGGACACCCATAAAAATTTCCTCGCCTTCAAAGACCGTCTCGCGACCACTTATCCCACTATTACTTTCACTTGGGAAAAAGAAAAGGAAAATGAAATTGCGTTCTTGGACTTAAAAATTAATAAATGCCGAAATAGCACTACATACTCCGTGTTCCACAAATTCAGTGGTGTACCTCCTCTAATCCC